TTTCTTACAACAGTTTCACAAGTCAAAGCCCCAAAGCTGTGTTACACACTATTGGATATCAAGATACATCTACATCTCCCTTTCACACCTATCCCTCTGTATGTATTTTTCCTGAGAAATGCTAATAAAAGACATGGGCACAGAAATCATGTGGTGCCCAGGTAAAAAGGAGGAGAATATATAGGCATTTTTAAAAGCAGAAAAGAGCATGTGGCCAAATGTCCCACCATATGCAGTATTGCCTGCACCAACCTACACACAGAGCACTCAGCATACAGAAGGTGCAAACAGCTCCTTATCACTTTCCAGACATTTGGTAACACATCCATCCACCCACAGCACTGAGTATTCTACTTTATATGGCTGCTCATCAGCTCTGCCCAAGGCCCCTGCCCACTGCTTATTCTTACATTTGACTGTGTTTTAGCAATCTGCTCCGCCCTGTTCATTCTCTTGAAATCTTTACTTGCTGTCTGTATCCTACACGTATTCATTCCTAAACCCTCTCCTTTCCTTTCCATGTGAGTCTGCTATAGCCTCTATTTCCACACACCTTTCTCCCACACCCAAAGAGCTCACATATGCTCCACTGCCTTTTATCCCAGATTCAGCCCTTGTAAGACTTTTATTATTTCCATCCTTCACCTTTGTCCCCAGTTGCAGCGAAGGGAGATTAACTTTTACCCGTTTCCAGCAAAAAATGTCACATTCATCAGGCATCTCTCTAACTCACTCCAGCGTTCTGCTGTGTCTAGAGCCAGCACAGTGCACAGCCCACTGCAGATGGGTAACCTCACCTGCCTGCTGAGACCTTTCTTTTTATCCTCCTGTTCCTAACAAATGCAGAGAGATAGAGGCAGAAGCACAGACTCCTCATCCTCTCTGCCTTAGAAGCACACTGAGAAGAACTGACTGCAATTCCACTAGCAGACAACAGCCCTGGCCAGTGTCTGTGACAGAGCAACTCCAATTGCAGTAATTTCTAAAGTATCCACGTTTTATGTGGAAAAGAGTAAATACATAGTTCTGTAACAAAGTGTTCTCCTGAAGAGACTTGATGAGAAGTGCCAAACAGTTTGGCAGTTTTGTAGCTATGGATTTGTACTAAGATTCAGCTGGCATTACCCAGGTTTACTTCATTACAGCAAGGAGGGCCAGTGAAAATCCAAGCAGCTGCACTGTTTTAACAGAATATAAGGTGCATTAGTGAGAGCCACCTTCCAGCAGGTTCAAAGAGGTGATCTTATTCTCATGCAACATAAGGATTTTGTTTAATGAACTATCACAAACACAACCCAAGCACCTATCTTAAGAACAAACTCCAGGGTCCTATTACAAACAGCACATGTGACAGTTATGTAAGCCTCAGAATCTCTGATGATCCGAAAATATCTGAGCAACTGCCATCATTAACTCATACTTTCCTTGCCAAATCCTTAGTCTCACATGAAATACCCTCACAAAGCTTCTCTATCCTTTCTCAGACATCCACCACCATATCACACTTTCTGTTTTCTATATTTCCTCGGACTTTTTTCTTTTCCCTTTTATACTTCTAATGACAAATAAAACCCCATAGAACAACAAATTCACAACCAATCACCCTGGGATTTTATTTTTCTTCTCTGTCATGAAGAATGAAAAATGCACACTGAGCCCCTTCAATGACTGCTGAAGTCCATTTAATCAAGCACACTAGCAAAACAATGTCCATAAGAAGAATGAAAACAGATCAGAGTAAAAAATCAGAGACAAGAGAGAAAAATCATCAGAGCATCATAACAGAAATGGAAAAAGTAATTTGGGAAGAAATCAAAAGTATGAAAGAAAAATTCAGGGTAGAAATAGACAAGAGCAAAACTACTGAGAGGGAAAAATAGTTTCAAAACAGTTCCTCTCAAACAACTTAAAGTCCTAACTGGTATCAGAATACAACAGGGTGGAGAAAATGAACAACAAACAGAAAGGTGAAAAGAGAAAACGGAGTATTTGTAATGTAAGCACAAGCTCATTCATGCAATCAAGCAGTTCAGCGAGGTAAAGCCTACAGTTCCCCATCAGGAGGCTGAGTTACTGTCCTTCAGAAGGAGCAGCAATAATCAGCACTGATCATTAGCACGCAAGGCACACACCTGAAGCAGGATGGAAGCAACAGCTGCTCCACTCCAGGAATTCCTAATGAAAACCACCTTGAGAGCACGACGGCAAGAGACACTGTGCCTGCACTGCTTCACCTTCGCTGTCAGCTAACAGGAGTGGACTGTGCATCAGGCAAATTATGAGGTCATGAAGACACATCAAATATCAATTGAGTTGTTTTATTCAAATTTGAGTTTATCATTACTCAATACAAGCAGTGAAACTTATGTAACTACACAGGATGAATTTCAAGAAGTTCAAAGTTAACTTGAGATCGTGTTAGTAAAACATTTACACAAGCACTACAGTTGACCTCAACATCCCTGAGGCCTGAGCCAGCAAAACAGGACAGAACACTCATTTCCCAATGCAGAGAAACATGTGTAAATGTCATCTGTACACCACAGATTTTAGGTACTAAATGAAAAAGCTGAAGTACCTCCAATATAAAAATTTAGGAGCTATGCAAATTGTATGATCCAAAAATACTGGGATGTTGTATAGAGACTCCCAAGACTGAAAGCATGAACAGGAAGGAAAAAAAATCCCAACACAATTCCACAAAACAAAAACCCCAACCAAAGCGTCCTTAAACAACAAAAGTAAAAACTCTACCATAATAATAACTAACCTTAAGACAGCAGAACACAACCTTACTTAGAGCTCACCATATACAGAAACACTGGTAATTTTCAAGAAAATAAATATTCAATACTGGACTATTTCTAACAAAATAACACACGAAACAAAAACTACACAACAGAAGCATTTCCCTGTAAAAAGGAAGGTGAACCGAAGGGAGGGAGAAGCAGTGTATCAGAGATACAAGAATTTCCCTTCTGTTTCCTAACAATACTGGGAAATATTGGAGATACACAAAAATATTCAAAAATAGTAATAAATATTAATGATACAAATACAGGTAAATATTTTACAAAAAAAACTGATTTAGGAAACAAATAAAATTACATAATTCAATTAATATTCTTCCATGCTAAAGCACAACAGAAATCATTCAGAATGGAAAATCTTCTGTGCTCAAACAGTAACAAAATCTATTTTCCAGATGAGCAGCTCTTATGGTCACAAAATCTATTTCCCAGATGAGAGGTTTAACACTTAACACTCATGACTAAATAAATACTTTTAAACCTTTTTTTATTCCAGGGAAAAAAAAAAGGGATTACATTTTTTTCTGGACTTATTTTTATCTATTAAAAAAATAGCTTTCTTGGATTGTTTTGAGAAAAACTTAAGCTGCTTTAAAGGACACTGTTTAGAAGACACAATAGAAGGAATAACCGAATTCAAAGGCAGAACTTCCCAGTATTTTCATAAAAATAATGGCACAGTATTCTTTGAGCACATATATTTTCGGTAAAATTCTGACTCTAGAGCTTTAAACTCCAGGGGGAAAAATGTAGAACCAACTCACAAACATGCGTTATCAGAAGTTTTAATCTTTCTGCCCCCATACTGAGGCTCCAAATACACATTATTTGCTTATTCACATTTCTGGCCAAGCGCGTTTTCGGTTTTCCTCTTTAATTAGACCGAGGCAGCTTTTCCAGGAAACCGCTACCCTGCGGTGCGGGCACCTTTCAGAGCGGCGACCGCGCACACCTGCGGGGCTGTAACAGCACCTTTTCCTGGGACAGCCGCTATTCCTGGAAAACAGACCTTGGCTGCGACAGGCTTGGGGCGCTGAGGGCTTTTGCTGCCGTGCCAGGCGGGAGCGCTCCGGCGCTGCCTCCCGCAGCCGCTCCCGGGAATGCCCTGGGGCCGGCGCTGGGCTCTTGGCTCCGTCCCTGCTGCGCATCCCGGCGCCAGCGCGTCCTGCCTGCTCCACTTCCCACGGCTGCCACCTCAACCCTCGCCCTGCACACGCCTCAAAGCCTTCCCTACCTTCCTTTCCTCTCCCCTAAACCCTCCCTACCTTCCTCTCCTCTCCTCTCCCCTGGCAAAAGCCTCCGCGGTCCTCCCTGTGCCCCGGCGGCGCGGGGCAGCGCGGCCCGGGACTCCGCTGTTCTTTCCGGAGCCGGCACCGGTGGCGCTGGGCAGGAACGCCCGCAGAAACGCCCGTCCCCTCCTCACCGGCCGGCCCGCGCTATCTATCGCTCGACCGGGACGGGGCGTCCTCCCGCCCGCCCCTGGGAGTAACGGAGACGCCGGCGCAGCTTTCGCCGTCTCCCGCCGCCCGCCCGGGCTCGCGCCCAGCGGAGCGCCCCCCCGGGGCGCGGCAGCGAGCACGGCCGGGGGGGGCTCACCCCGCCCGGCAGCGGCGGGACGGCGGCCGCCCCGCGCGCGCTCCCGATCCCGGCGCCGTTGGCACCGGAGTGGGGGGGGCGCTGCGGGCGCGCGGTGTCCATGGCAGCGCGCGGACGCTGCCGCGCCCCTCCCCCCGCCCCCGCCGGCTGCGCGCGCTCACCGGCCGCTCGCGGCGCCGCATCCCGCCGGCCCCGCGCGCCGCGTCACGGCCCGCCCGCGTGACGCACCGCCCGTCGCGGGAGTTGCGCGTGGCGGGCGCGCGCCGTCCGGCCCCCGCGGGAACGAGCGTCACCCCCGCCGGGCCCCGGACGGCGCTCCCGGCGCGCAGCCGTCGGCGGCACCGCTCCCCGCGGCGGGCACGGCGCTGCCGCCGCTAACGGGCGCGGGCGGGACGGCGAGAGCTCCCCGCAGGCAGCGCCCGGCCCGGCGGGGCCGTGTGGGGCGACAGCGCCCCCTGCGGGCGGGAAGGCGCGCGGCGGGTCCGGTCCCCGGGACGAACCCCCGCGCCGATCTCGCCCCGCTCCTCGGCGAGGGGCGGCTGAGCACCGGAGCGAACGGGTCGGGGCCTTCAGCACGGGATGGACAAGGAGAGGCCGAAGCGCTGGGTCAGCTCGAAGAAAGAGAAAGCTGGGAGGGAATCTGCTGGGTTCGGCTGTTTGGAGGAGATTTCAGAGAAAACGGAGCCAAACTCCACTCAGAACGCAGTGCAAGAGAAGCCCTATGCTGTGGCTCCCATTTGCTCCATCACAGATTCTTTCGCTTTACCACTATTCCTGCTTTTCTATGTCCACATACCAAGCAAACCCCTTTTCCAGTTAGAAACAGAAACTGAAAATGGAAACTGAAAATGGAAACGAAAATTCAATTATTTTAACATCCTCTTTGTTGAATAACAAATCCCCAGAAACTGATGAGGTCACTTGGTAGGACACTATTTCCTTGCTCATGTGCCAGTGCTTGCTTTCAGCCTATCTAGTATAAAAGATCTTACTTGGACCTTTTTCCAGATGGCAAATTTTCTTTCTGTATCTGTCATTTTTTCTCCTTTTGTAAACTTCTTCAGCGCTGCACCATCATCAGTAGCACAGAGCACACATCTGCAATATAAAGTGGAAACACTGGAAATGGCCTTATGGCACATGACCAGAAAATCTGAGAGTGATTGAGAAAGTCACTCAAGTATGGTGATTAAAAAACTGCAGCAACTACTAGAAATGAAGGATTGAGAGATGGACTGAGTGAAGAACATAGCCCCAAATATCTTAAATGAGAGGACTGAGGTGGAAAGGTTCTATATAGATGCTCTGTAATGTGAATCAGGATATCATATCCAGTAGAAAGCATCAAAAGAAAAAGGCCCAAACTGCCTATAACAAAAAATATGGAGGCATGTGCAGTGATTTCCCCAAATCAAAACATTCAAAGGCAACAGAAATAGCACAAATAATATTCCCAGAGACCTAGAGGAAGCACATAAATGCTACTGGTATGGAAACATTGAAAACTAGTGTCCATCTTGCTAGGCAGATACCTAGAAATCCTTTGCATGGTAATATTGTTTGGATTTGGAATTCTGTAGTGAGAATAACTGTATGAATTGAAGTATCCTATAAATTAGTAATTGTGGGAACCTAATTACAACTGGGATATCACTTTTTGGTCTTTATTTCTATGGGTTAAAGGTACACTCAAAAGAGTTCTTTGCATATTCTGCTATGTCCTGTGGAATTTGACAGAGAGCTTGCAGTACAGATGTGCTTCTGTAGTTTCGTTTTATATAATTGTTGTTGCTTCTTTTTTGTTTTATAGGCATTGCTTTTTCTGGCATTGCTCTTTTGCTTTTTACTCATTCCAGTGAGCTAAAAAAAGTGAAGCCTAAAAAAATTACAATTAAGGTGCTAACTGTTTACTGTATCACTGCTCATTTTAACAGAAACGTACAGAAACAGTAGATGGCAAATCCAGTCTGTTTTCCATTGGTTTTCCATATCTCAGAAGCCTCTGCTTTGCATTGTGCTTCCAAGACTGTTTTCCTCAAGCTTTCTAATAGTCTAAAAATAAAATTACATGAAACAGACACTGACATATTGAAAACAGGATCACCTGCAGTGCAGTACTGATTGACAGGATTTCATTTTATAGTGAATAAAATTAAATCTTAGATTTAAAAGTATGTCAGAACTTCTGTTAGGATGCAGTTTAAATTAAATTAGAGCCACACATGCTGTAGTAGCCAGGATTGCAGGTCTCCTACCTCATGCTAGACATCTGTACCTACCAACTGCAGCAGTGTCTGAGCACTTGGATTTTAAGCCACAGAGTTAAGGTCCCCTGTAGCTGAAGTTTGCACACATCCTTGGTGAGAGATCAATATCATCCTATACCCCAGAAAAAATGTTTGTTTAGTATGGATTGGCTACTGAATAACTCGGTGACACACAGTCAGTTGGAATGCTTTGTTCAGGTTATCTCAAAAATGATACAGCAGAAACACTCCCTGAAAAACCTGGGGTGAAATTTGTAATTGAGGTCTAAGAAATCTTTTACCCTGGAGAAGGAGAAGGTGGAGACTGGAATTGAGAGAGAAAATTATGTGTTGACCCTTTTACATATGAACAGGAGAGACAAGGAGAAGACAATGTATTTGAAACTAATACATGTTTGTACAAGTCCTCCCATTCCCAGTATTTATAACCACTAACAGAACAGAAGTAATTGGATTTGTTCTATTTAGTTTAGAGAGCCATAGATTTAGAAGTTGAAAACACAATACTGTGTGCTTACATTTATTTTTTAAATGTATGTGTTATAAAAATCTGAATAAGAGCAATGCAGAGCTAGAATTTTAAACCTGTTTTACACATACTGAATCCATGAATGATATGCCTTTGAAATTTTCTTCAAATACATTGATCTTTTCCATGTTTTTCAGTGAAAAAAAGATTTTGAAAAACAGAATATCAGTAAGTTGACATGAGAAAAAAACCCTGTTTTGTGATTGTTTTTTCTCCAAATGAATGGGGAAAATCCATGGTAATCTTTTGTTTCTTCAGTAGGTGGATACTGAACTGGGCTGGTCACTCCAGGTCATGGGATTCCAGTAAGTTCTGAATCTAACATAAGAATCTAGTTGTGTGGCTTGGTGTGAGGTACTTTAACTTTTTGAAAAAGTTGGTAGACTGTATACTGATTTCGTACATGCACTAGACTATACTGATAGATCTTTATGTATTGTATCAAAAGATAAACAAGTGGAAATAAATTTTGGTACTGCTAAAGTCAAGAAAAGAAGTCAGGAGAATTAACTTTGCTCAGTGCAGTGGGATTTATTTTGTTCAGTCATTAATGGATCTCTATCCATCTTTACCAAACAAGTAAATAATGTCTATTATGACAGTAGCATTCCCCAGGTATATTTCCTTATAAGAGTATTGTAAAGCAAACTTCCCAGTATTAAAATGTACAAATATCCGCAGCCAGGTTAGGAAAAGTTTACTTATTCTATGGTTCATTGCTGTCTGCAAAGAAATGTGGGAGCATGACTTTAGAGATACCTAAAATATGGCCTAAGCTAGAAATTCAAAGTTTAAGCAGCATTAAATATATTATAAGCTGTGAATTGGGACATAAGATCTGTAGTAGTGTATCTATATGCACATGGATGTGTGACAAAAGTGAGGAATATTTTATTAATTTTAAAATTTGTTGTTTTTTTGATCTTTCAGCAGCAGTCATTGAGACTCAGTTCTCGTGGAAAAAAAATCTCATGACCCCCTAAAGCCTTCTCTTACCGAAAAGCAGGTTTATGTTTTCTGGAGGATGCTCATGTGAAAGTCCATGATCATACAAGGAGATGCATTTTCAGCTAGCACATTGAGTTTTGATTAAAAAGGCAAAGTCTATGCAGCTGATGTTGCATTCAGTCCTCTCATCAGAGACTGTGATGAAGACCCATATGCCTGATTTTCAGATACCAACTCAGATACAACTTTATTGCTAATTATAACACACAAGCATGTCAGCTTACTCTGGAGGAATAGGTAGGGTGGAGTTCTGGCATGCACAGCTTGTCAGATGTGAGGCAGTCAAGCACACAAGCCAAAATGTAATACTCAGACATCAAATTACCAGATAAAGTTCATAAGCAGGAGCCCTGGAGACATTTATATATAAAGATATAGAAAGATGTGAGATACTTCTTTGGAAAGGCAGGCTGTCACTTTCCAAAATGGACGTGGAAGTGGATTGGAGCCTTTTTCTTGACACAGACAGGAAAAAACCCTCTAGGAGTGGAAGTCACAGGGCACAATTCTCAGAGGTGGTTAAGCCATTTTAAAACAATTTTTGGACTTATGCATATTAAATAGTTTTCAGAATCTAGATTTCAGTGCCTTCTAAAGAAAATGTTTTTAATAATATTCAAAGAGTTGACTATGAACTTGTATTTTAATAGTCTAAAGAAATTTATGAGATACTTTAGACTATACTTTTGTATAATGTAGGAGATACATTATTAGCTTATTTTAATATATTAAATATTAAATATATGTCAGATATGAAATAAAAACAGAATATGCAGATGAGTGGAAAGCAGTAACAGCAATGAGATGAGACAGGTAAATCACGATCAAATAGCATCTGCAGCTTGATCTGAAAAAGGCAGTTCATTATTAAAAAAGGAACACATAAGATTTCTAGTACAATTCTTTAAAACTATCTGCATAAAAATGCTGTTGGAAATGTGGATTAGAAAAGATGTTTGCACAGAAATTAAAAGATCATACAGATCTTTGTAGAAGATACCTGGACAAAATGCAGGAATAGTCCTGCAATTCCTCAGGGAGCAGGTAACCTTGATAATGGACTGCTTTTGTTACAGGAGAAGACAAATTTTAGAATTTCTAAAGGAAATGGGTTTTAATAGGACAACAGCCAAGTCAAAAGAGCAGTGCTGATTAGGGAGAAAATTAAGGCATTTGAAAGTAAATGACAGTATTAGAGGCTGTTAATTGGTATGTCTTTCCTAGGTGTTTGAGTGAATTCCAATATCTTAATAGTGACTTACCTAGAATATTTTACCTTTGCAACACAGAAAATACTTCTCCCAGCCTAATATTTCTTACACAGCAGGCCACATTATCAGATTCATCCTCTTCTGCAGTGATCCTTCCACACACTCGGATGCCAACAGTCTAGACCAGGTAAGGCAGCTATACGCTTTCCATGAACAGCAGCCAGCAATTAGCAACTCATCTGCACTTTTTATACTGAACGTTAGCTTCGAAGTAAGGCTGTGAATTCTAGATCCCCTGTCTGCTGCTTTGACTCTGTGTCTGAAATGCATCTGAAATATACTTATTTTTCTCCTTCTTAAAGACCTCTTTCTTTCCCAAGCCAGGAGCTTGCAAGACCCTGTACAAAGCACCAGCATTTGGACTAGTGGTTAGAACCTTGTGTATAAAGTGTTGGCATAACTTGGTGAAGATGTATTTTCATTTTGTAGTAAAGCTATTTTCATGAAGCTTAAGAGGTTCTGTAATCAAATTATGTGTACATGGAAACAAAAATAAGGCATTCCTTGAAACGCTCTGTGAGGAAACTGGTACAGAAGTCCCTGAAATGCTGTAAAAGGAAGATGTATGCATGGGTTACAGGAGTTGCAGACCATCTCCTGTGAAGAGGGGAATAAAATCAACATCACACCTATATAGGGTCTTACCAAGGAACAGTCACAGTGTGCAGAAATACATTAGCATGTTTTTAATTTGTAATCAAATTGCAAGGTGAGAATTTCCCTCTAGCGTATAGCAGAGGAAAAAAACAAGATACAAACATTATGCACAGCAATTGCACTAATATAGAGCTGTCAGTTACAATGCATCTTTACTAGAAGGCAGGATAAAAAGTGTTCACATTCAGATTGTTTAATTAGCACAAGTAATGGTTACAATCATTAGAAGTATATTATTTTCCATGGGTGTTTGAGTGAGATCCCTGCAGATCCTTCATGGCTGCATAATCTTTCAGGAACCAGAAATAAAAATATAGGTTCTCCAACTTCAAATGCAGAGATTCTTAAAACGAGATTGTATATACCAAGACTTACTCTTCTCTAGCAATAGGAACTTGCAGTCCCAAGAGTACACGACTGTGTTTGAGCAAATGTGACAAGGAGTCAATCGATCAACACAAGAAATACAGCTACAATCAGGACAGGAAACCAACAGACAAGGCCTGGCTGCTTTGTGATTTAAAAATGTGTTCTTTCTTCCTACTGACTTCTCTATTTACACTCCATTTTATTCAGATGCACATGATGTGACACAAAGATACATATTCATGATTATGTTTCTGCTTCCACAGTTTCATTATGTTACAGGAAATAGCGTAACATAACGTGTAGGCTTGTATCCATTAGCACAGTGAAAAGGCACCTAACAATTTTCAGGTATAATGGAATTGCTGGCAAGCTTGAGCATACAAGCCCCAGACAGAACAGGAACAGTTTTCAAGCTGTCAGAGGCACAGTGAAGGTCACTGTACCAAAGAGAAATTTCTTTCATCCTCACACAAGAAATCAAATATGCCTTCCTCAAAAATCCGTACAAAGCTATTTCCCAAGGTTTTGGAAACTGCTTGACATGTAAAGACTGACAACTTGTTGTCTTCATAATATGTAAAGTCACTTCTATGAGACACCCAAGATGTCCCAGTTATGTCACTCAAAATGAGTACTCATCTTTGAGTAAGGTGAACTCAGAATCTTAATATGCAAGATAAAGAGGTAAATAAACCTGCTACAAGCTGTAGCCAGGAGTGAATCACTAAGGCTAAAGATACTGAAGTGAAAACCAGAGTAATGTTCAAGTTCATGGGGTCTGGAAAGAAACACAAATTAAGACCAATCTCAGTGGCTGCCCTTTCAGTTAGATAAGGTTGTTTAGTCTTTGATAGGTTGTAGGGAAAAATTAGCTCAGCTAACGAAAAAAAACACTGACAGCAATAGAAAATCCAGACCGTGAGTCACATGAGTGCACCCGATCTGCACAGTAACAGATCCTTGGAACAAAGGAGCTTTCTATTCATTCCCAAGTAAAGGGTGATAGTCAGGACAAAGCTGGACAGTGCAGCACAGAAGAGCACCAGGAACAGCATCTGCAAAGGCTGGTTTAGTTTCCCATGGTTGGCATAACTACAGCAGGCTTGGCAATGGTGGCATCTTCTTCTTTCCATTGAGAAATGATAGTTTTCAGCTGTGTATAGAACTGCACTCCCTGGAGGAAAAGAGAGATCCACAGATCAGATATTTGGCCTTATGAATTCCTCAGGTCATACACTAGTGGTATGTCAAACAGTTTTTGCTTTATGCAAACAGGATTGAGTTTTCTTCTGAGAAAACTATTGTCAGCCTATTCTTTTTATCAGTTTCACTAAGATTCTGATTGTATGAGAAAGCTTGCTAGTTATTTCTCCCTTCTCAAATCTCCTAAAAAGACTTGCATTTTTTTACTTAAGGAAAAAAAAAGAGGAGGGGGCTATCTATAATTGTGACATGCTTTATGGTGATCACTGGCTGGTTTTCAGTTTTCCTGGTTGAAATGGCTTCAAGGTCTCCTCACTAATGAGGTCTGATGACCATCTCCCCATTGCCATTTATACCATGATTTATCACAACTCAACCCAATAGAGTACTCTGAATCAGAAAGTTACCTGTTTGCCATAGAAATTAGTGTCCCCTCTGAAAGAAGCACGAGAGCCGGTGAAAGAGAACATGGGCAGAGGCACGGGGATTGGAACGTTGACTCCCACCTACACCAAAGGAAAGCTGCCATTAGTCACAAGAAGCAGATTGCAGAGCACTTTCCAGAGGCTTCTACATTTTGTTTCCTTATATCTGAGGCTGGGTACTGCTGGCTGAGAGGGCAGTGATTACAGCTGGTTACCCACTGTAAATGGTGAAGGATAAAAGCAACAATCCTAGCTAGAACATACCTGCCCCACATCTACTAAGTGAGAATACTTCCGAGCTGTGGCCCCATTGGTGGTGAAGATTGCAGTTCCATTCCCATAGGGGTTATTGTTCACCATCTCAATGGCATCATCCAAAGTGTCTGCTTCCAGCACCACTAGGACCGGCCCAAAGATTTCCTCCTTGTAGCAAGTCATGTTTGGCTGCCAATACAAAGAGCAGAAAAAGCAACTTCTATGAAGGATATAATAAAAATATCGTAGTGAATAGGATATAAGAAACACACATGCTGTTAGTACTCACAATATTCCTAGGACTGATCATACTGCATGACCAGGCCATCCTTCAGTCCTCCTTACCTCTCCACCATTTCCCGTGCCCTGTCCTCTATCATTATCATTATCTTCATTATTATCATTATCATTATCTTCATTAAAGAAGGCACCCTTTTCATCTCCAGAGTGCTCTCTGCTTTTACTGCCTGCATTACAATGAGTACTTCATTGACACTGTACGAGGGAAAGCTGAGCCATTTATGGCCTTTCTACCTGGTGATCATTGATTACTGACTGATTTGGCTAACCCATTTTTCAGCTGACCCTGCAATATACATTTACAAGCACTGTTTTTGGTCATCTTACCTTGACTTTGGCAAGGATCGTTGGTCCAACAAAATTGCCATTTTCATAACCCTTCACTTTGACATTACGTCCATCCAGGAGAAGGCTGGCACCTTCTTTTACTCCTTTCTCAATCAGACTGCAAACCCGTTCCTTAGCCTGGGGACTGATTAGTGGCCCAAGATCTGCTCCAGGCTGGTCTCCTGTGAAGAGGCAGAGACAATTAACTCTGACAATGTCCTTTTCATAGGCATCTGTTGTGGAGATAACTACACTAGAAGGAAAAATCTGAAAATCGTGATGTTTCTGAGACACAGAACAAAGATTTGAGACATTGAGGAACAGGAGCAATAGCCTGCAGCTCTCATAATCAACAAGGAAACACCAGGAAGCCAAAATTCAATAACATATTATTCTCAGGAAGGAAACTTTTCCCCTTTGCAGCACTTTATTGAATATAAACAAAACATAATTCCCCTAGAATTAATAACAGTCTAGCTTTTCCAAAGTACTTGTTTCCATTTTTCTTCTTTTACTGCATGTTTACTGTTGAAATGAGGTTGCTATATAAATGGCAGATATGAGTTAAACATAGGATTTAACCTCAAATCTCCAGTTAAAACAAGACTGATCCTGTAAACATTGCATCACAGTCCCACCAGCCAGCTGAAAACACATTCCTACCTCCAAGTAGGGCTGGGTTTCCCAGTCCAGACAATCTGCTAGCTCCTACCCCTGCACATCAAACCTGTGGTGCCAATAGCTCCAAGGGTGACAACATGGTATGGCAGATAAGCTGACCTAAAAAGCTATGGTTGTACAGAAGTGAAGTACCTTGTAAAAATTATCTCAGTCTGTACCTGCATTTACTCGTAGATTTTTGGCTCTGTCCACAAGCTCTGGCAGCCATTTCTGAGCTTCTCCTACTAGAATTGCTGTAGACAGGGCCATGCAGCGTTGGCCAGCTGCTCCAAAAGCAGCTCCAACCAGCTGGTTCAAGGTGTTTTCTTTATTGGCATCGGGCATCACCACACCATGGTTCTTGGCTCCCTGAAAAACAACACACAGTCTCCCATTATTAAGCACCCCAGATTGTTTCTTCTCTAGCCCTCTGGCAATGACTTCTTATAGTAGCTATGATTCTGCTACCAACAGGCTGGCAAGAGAGCAGCCTTATCACTTAGCTATCAGCAGCACGGTCAGCTTCTGCTGCTGAGTGGTGTGGTGTCTCTTAACAGGAGAGGTAGCCTATGTGCTAAAGTGTGCTCTGTTCAGAGACATTACCATGTTGGCCTGGACTCTCTTGCCATTCCGGGATCCTCTCTCATAGATGTACTCGCCAGCCTGATTAGATCCCACAAAGCTGATTGCTCTGATATCCGGATGGTCACAAATGAAATTCACAGCTTCAAATAGGAAATAATACATTATAACTGTGGTGCACAAATGCTTCCCTCCATTCCCATCCCCACAGCGCTAAATCTATGTATCTTTCTTATCAAAATTCTTGCCTCTGTTTCCTACATCTAAGTTCCCTGAAAGCCTGGCTGTGCAACTTTTCACTCACTTCTTAGCACACATATTCCTACCCTTTCTCCATACTCCTG